TGTATGTATGTATGTATGTATGTATGTATGTATGTATGTATGTATGTATGTATGTATGTATGTATGTATGTATGTATGTATGTATGTATGTATGTATGTATGTATGTATGTATGTATGTATGTATGTATGTATGTATGTATGTATGTATGTATGTATGTATGTATGTATGTATGTATGTATGTATGTATGTATGTATGTATGTATGTATGTATGTATGTATGTATGTATGTATGTATGTATGTATGTATGTATGTATGTATGTATGTATGTATGTATGTATGTATGTATGTATGTATGTATGTATGTATGTATGTATGTATGTATGTATGTATGTATGTATGTATGTATGTATGTATGTATGTATGTATGTATGTATGTATGTATGTATGCATGCATGCATGCATGCATATATAAAACTGTATCTCATATTACCGTTCTATACAACTAACTATAGCTTATTGGCGATATTATCATTCAACATGAAATTATTTATAAAAGGTTAGCAAAATTACTTGAGAATAAAACTGAAACATACAAAAGAGCATTACAGGTCATAATTAGACAGGGTCAAAAAGTAATGATATATGTACATATACATGTACTGATGGCATTATGCCAAATCCGAATATTATGAAATAATTAAATAACATATGATGTGTTAATCACGCACATGCTTTTAATGGAGCTGTGTATTCATGGTGTTCTGTGCTCAGCTGGTTCTTTGCCGTCATGTTGTTACATGAACCCACTTGATACTGACTGAACTTTTAATCTTTTTGTCCTATAAAGTTATGATTTTCAGTCCTGGGGACATAAACGTATCGACAGTCAAGTGGTAAAAGAGTTAAATGACATCAGACAACGAGGCGGGCCAAGAGGATTGTGAAAAAATAAAATACAGACAGACTTATTAACACTTTGAGTGACCAAGAGATATGAAAGGAGGCGATTAATATTCTTTCCTTTCTTTTCTTGTCAATATCTTTTTATGCCGCTAGGCGCCGCAGGTCATTAATCGATCGGCAGTCGAGCCAGGAAGCGTTCAGTCGCTTGTCATAGGTAATGTCATACAGTCTTATTGTGCCAGTGACTTTTTCAGTCCGTGTTCTTCTCGCTCTTCCCCTGCCTCTTGATGTTTCAACTTTCATGTTGTACGCTCTTGCTGATGACATTGTTTGTTTCATTCCCATTAGACGGTCAAACCATTTCATTCTTTGTTTCTCAATAAATTTGACAAAGGGTGTTGTTTCAACAGTTCTTGTGATCGCGTCGTTTCTCATTCAATCTCTCCTGGTTCTATTCACAGCCATTCTCAAACATCTCATCTCACAGGTGTTTAGTTTCCTCTCGAGTACTTTTGTTAATGCCTAAGTCTGACACTGGTAGTTTAAAGTCGGTATAAGTATTGTATTTATATGTCTTTTTGTCTCAATGGGAAAAAAGGGTGTTTTAAAACTGGAGCCTGTTGGTAAGTGACAATGTTTGCTAGTAGGATTCTCGTTTATTATTTCTCTGTCTTTTTTTACCATTGTGTGTAAAGATGCTTCCCAAGTTTTTAAATTCTTGCACTTGTTTCAGGCAAATAGTAACTACAGCAATGAACCCCAAGCCGTCGCAATGCCGAATAAGAAGAAAGTCATTTAGTGGTTCGGGCAGCTGGGGTGTTAAGTGTTACGTTTTCACAAACTGTGTATAAAAGCCTTGAATAAAACAATGCGAGGTCGTCAGTTGCCTTTCTCGACATTTTTCTCAGACAATTGCAAAAAAGTTCTGAAAATTGCCTGGTAACCATTTCTATGAGCCATACATGACTCACTCAACCACACTGATTGTAAACAATCTCTGTCATGGAAGGCAAGTGCTCAGATTACTATGACAGCCTCGTTTCACATAAAACCTTCAGATTTGATATTATCACTATCTACTGACGACAAAATAAGTCAAAGTCACAGCTGCCTGGGATAAACTAAAATCATCCCATATTTCCCTCCAGAATCTGGCGACGACATTCAGAACCTATCCAATATTTTCTCTCCAGAATCTGGCTACGACCATCCAAATCCTATCCAATATTTTATCTCCAGAATCTAACTACCAAAACACAAACCTCATCCCACATCTTCAATTATGAATCTAAAAGAATATTCAGTCGAAAATGTGGCTGTCACGATCTAGATATCACCTTATACTTTCAGCCAAGAATCAGCTTACACAAATATTTCAGCCAAGAATCTAGCAACCCAAATCCCATATTTTCAGTACGGAATCTGGTTACCGGAATGAGAATCTCATCACATATTTTTAGGCTAAAATCTCGATTCCACTGCCCAAATTCCACTATATATTTTCAGACTACCTCAACACCAAAAGACAACAATAACATCCAATTTCAATCAATACTGGCTATCACAATAAGAGAGTTTCGAACTGCCTTTTGAGCTCTGCTTACCAACATAATTAACTATCCAACGAATGGAGCCACAAAGAAATCTAGAATAATTACACGTAAAATTCCTTATCCCTCCTAATTTTTAAAGGAAGCGTGTTTTTATCCAAAGGCAATAAGTTTTCAAGCGTATCAGCTGACCCAAATAAGGTCTTGGTCTCTTCTGTCGGCGTCCGTCTGTTGTTCGCTTGTCGTATGATTGGAGTGACCATTTTAGTTCTGCACTGAAGGAAAATATACACTATGCAGATGACAATAATGACACCTCCAACGAAGAAAATCACATACATCTTGATCTGTAACAGGATATGTTTGTTGTGACTGATAAAACGGTGGTAAGCTTCCACCTCGCTGACTGGCTTCGGCGAATGAGGAATATACATTGTGCACTTGTGATAAGCAGTCGACCACTAGAAATCCTAAAGTGCTTTGTTCCGTTGCCGGACACGATGGTTTTGATTAAAGTTTTTCGTTGTGATCTCTCGTGATGCTTTTGTAGTGCCAGGCTAAGCAAAGCTTTAAATTCAAGGTTTATATGCAGACTTCTCTCAGGGTGCCAGTATTATTTAGTTAATCCATGCAAGATGCTACAGCGATGAAGTATTTATTTACTCGTTGATGAAGTATAATTAATTGTTTTATCTTAGTCCAATCCTTATACAAATATCTCACGTATTTTCAAGCATACAGTTTTGTATTCTATACAAAATGAATTCTGCGCTTGTATAGATTCCCTTAGTCCAAAGGCGAAATCCGTAATGACCCATTGCCCATCTTTAAGTAAGCAAGTAGAGTTTGAATATTCACCCCGAAATCCACTATTCTGAGTAGCTGATTACTGCAACATATTATTCCCGTGGTGTAAGGAGTTAAACACCTTTAATTATGAGGAGGAATTATCCCGTGTCCATGTTTTTTTAATTTATTACTAACACAGCTTTCAAAATATAACATCTTTAACTTTGATTAATAAGCAGAAATCAGTTGTCGTAAACTGACTGCAGTTACTTCTTAGTGTGGTAGGATTGTATAGGCGATGCATGAATAATCAGAGGGCTCCCGATCAAGACACCATATTTTTCTGTGGAAAGAGAAAGGAAAAGATATTAACATTTCGACAAGGTCGCTGTTTTACTTCTCTGTTAGGACAAAAAGTCAATAATGTCCTAACAGATCAACATATCACAGGAGCTGCAGTCGCTAGTAAGCTTGTCTGAGGGTAGTAATAGTAGTAGTAGTAATAATATTATAGCAGAAATAGTTGTAGTTGTAATTTGATAGTATTGTAGTAATAATATAGCAGTAATAATATAGCAGTAATAAGGTATTGGTCTTCTTCTTCTTCTTCTTCTTCTTCTTCTTCTTCTTCTTCTTCTTCTTCTTCTTCTTCTTCTTCTTCTTCTTCTTCTTCTTCTTCTTCTTCTTCTTCTTCTTCTTCTTCTTCTTCTTCTTCTTCTTCTCTTCTTCTTCTTCTTCTTATTATTATTATTATTATTATTCTTTTTCTTCTTCTTCTTCTTCTTCTTCTTCTTCTTCTTCTTCTTCTTCTTCTTCTTCTTCTTCTTCTTCTTCTTCTTCTTCTTCTTCTTCTTCTTCTTCTTCTTCTTCTTCTTCTTCTTCTTCTTCTTCCTCTTCTTGTTCTTCTTCTTCTTCTTCTTCTACTTTTCTTCTTCTTCTTTCTTCTTCGTCGCGTTCATGGGTGTAAACTCCAGCGAAAAGTTCTAGATCATCGTGACCTTCTGGACTGTGGTCCTATTCCAGAATCTGAGTGTTGCGTGCAAATCCGTTTCACATATCTGACTCGTGTGTAGGCAGACTGTCTGTTCCTTGTTTCTCAGGTAGATGCACTCAGACTTCTACGGAAACTCCCAGTTAGTCGATTCTTAGGACATGCTTTTGGTAGGCAGTGGGTCCGTTCTTGTTTTCTCCTGACTGGAACCCTGTGACCCACTCGGGGATACGGTATAGTAATATATTAGTATTAGTGTAGTATAACGGTACTACTTGTTTTATGTTAACGGTGAATGTTGGGCGGCGTATACCATACCGAACATCCCACATTGTGCCAGAAGCTTTTTGTCGAAGAATGGAATGGGGGATGGTACTAGCTTCATCATAGGAAGCGGAAATACAACCTGAAAACTTCATGTTATCACTGGGCATACCATCCCCTTAGCCTTGGCTGGCAGATGGTCTAGGAGGAAAGCTATGACAGACAAACAAGCAGCGTACTGCTCTTCTGACCCGTCAACTTCTGCAGCGAGCTTCGTTCAACAAGTACTGACTGGAGTAAACAAGGCAGGACGAGGACAGATGGTGATGCATAAGCGACACAGGATCTCTTCAATACTGCCCATGCTTTGTATCAGGGAAGGTTAGTTGCGTATCCAATACGGGACGTTGCAGAACCAACCCCAACAGCCCCTGGCTGTTGTGTGGTTTTTCTGGGCAAATTTACGCCCAGTAGTTTGCCATTGCACTGGACGGTCGGCTTTCTTGATACCACTGTCGAAAAAACGCAAGTCGCATAGCCTAACCCGGCATCACGGCATTACGAAGCGTTCGCTTCGACTTAGCCACAGAGCCGACCTGTGACAGGGAGAGGATACAAATTACCATGGTGCTTGGAGGGGGTAAATGAGGATGAAGAATAAAGATAGCAAATAAGTTGACAACACTGAGAAGAAACAAACGAAACACACGCGATAGCAACAACGGTCCTAAAATCTCATGCTCTAATTAAGGAAGAGTCGGCTCTGTGGCTAAGTCGATGCGAACGCTTTGTAATGCCGGGTTCGATCCCAGCTGCGGGCCATGGGCCTTGCGTTGGTTTTGACAGTGGTATCAAGATTCTCGACCGTCCAGTAAGCAATGGCAAACTACTAGACGTAAATTTGCCTAGAAAAACCACACAACAGCCAGGGGCTGTTGGGGTTGGTTCTGCAAAGTCCTGTAAAGGATACGCAACTAACCTAATTAAGGCAGACTTTTTTTTTTTTAAACGCTGGCGGGTCTTGCTAGTCACACTCGGTTTCGCCATAGGCTGTGGCTAAGTCGATGCGAACGCCTCGTAGTGCCGGGATGCCGGGCTCGATCCCAGCTGCGGGCCATACGCCTTGCGCTGGTTTCGACAGTAGTATAAAGAAAGTCGACCGTCCAGAAGCAATGGCAAACTACTGGACGTAAATTTGCCTAGAAAAACCACACAACGGCCAGGGGCTGTTAGGGTTGGTTCTGCAACGTCCTATAAAGGATACGCAACTACTAACATTCTCGTAGTAGTGGTGATAGTAATAGTAGTAGAAGAAGAAATAATGGTAGTAGCTGTAAAAGTAGAAGAAGTAGTAGTAGTTGTTGCTGTTTTTGAGGCATCAGTAATCAACAGTAAAGGAAATAATGTTAACTATTCATGAAAAATTTAGCTCTGAAAGTGCAATGGTAAAAGCTGTACAAACGCTCGGCTGGGGATCGGAAAGTCGTGGGTTCAAGTCTTGACGGAACCGGCCGTTTTTCAGAAATAACTTAGCTCCCAGATCGAGCCAGTCTTGAATGGGTACCGGATGCAGTCCTGGGAAATAAAGGCGGCCGGCGTGATGTTGACCACATCACCCACTAAGTTCCGATTGATCTATAAAAATAGGTCTAGCCCTATATGCCCAATAGGCCAAAAAGGCATTGAAAAGGATCCATTACGTACCTTACATGTTAATCACATAACCTTATCTTCTGTCTGATTTTTCTGATATACTAACCAACTCTATCCCTGTCGATACCTTGATCCATTTTGTGCCACAGTTCTATCATTTACCTCAATGAGATTCACGGATTGTTCTTGGAAACTAGACAACCTTGGGGACAGACAGTGCTGACCCAGCAAGCAGAGGCGCGGAATATTAGGGCTTCAGGTACCGACTTTAACTTCGGGAAATTTGAGCCCCACCTCACTGAAAACTTTAGGGAGCCTAGCACCCCTTCATCCCAGCCTATAACAATTGCAATAGAACTATGTGCTCCCCAACCATGTACAGACGTTTTCTAAGCATTTGTTTGCAATTATTTATTACTTCAAACAGATTATAACATTTATTTGACATTCAGTACAAACTTTCACAAAGGCTACTAACCTCCTGATATAAGTTTTCTGATAGAAGGATCAAAGATGAAGAAGAAGCACATACGCTAATAATAATGTCTTTTAAGATTACGCACTTGAACAAGACTTCAGTCTCTCCAGACCCCATCAACGCGCTAAAAATTGTAACATTATTATATATAATGAACAAAAAGACAGCGTATTGATCGGCACTTATAGAAAAAAGTAGAAAGATAGAAGGACAGACAAGACAAAATACAGAGCGAAAGCTATAGTTTCCGTGCCGGGAATCTAACCTGTCACCTCCACATGGCGTGCGCACGTCGCTATGGAAACAAGACTGCTTGGAACATGAGCAATTAGAGGCCGCGAGTAAGGGTGCCTTTATTTCCCATGTCTATAGCACAGCTTGGAAAATTGTAAGCGGTCTGAAGCCCTTCCCCCTCCCCCCCCTCAGTACCCCCCCCCCTCCCCACACACACACTCAGACCAATTATTTCTTTGTCGCAGAGCCCATAGGTGAAAAAAAAAATGTATGGGATTTAGCAGAAAAACAAAAGCTGATGTGAAAGTTCTTCATCCTCACAGCCCGACTGCTGGGCAAACAGTTAGGGTGATGAAACTGCTGCCATTTGTACATTTCTTTATTGCCCCGTGGGGAAATTTAGAGAATAAAAAGCACTTACATCAGCCCCCACGACACGAATGCTTCAATCTGCTCCTCTTGACAAGGGGAAAGGAAGTTTATGTCTGCAGACAACGCTGATAAATGGCTTCTTCTCGACCGGATCGGTGTTTATAGAACCAGATCTGTCAAAAAAGGTGATCCTACAATCTGAAGCGCCGACAAACAAACGTACAGCAGGGGGGACGACGGCCTTAGCTCTCCTATAAATTTCTGGGGAGGGGAGCCTCATAGGGCCTACGTTTTGTTTAAGTGGTTAATACTGATACTAATAGGAGCAATGATAATATTGCGCTGAATGGGCAGTAAATCAAGATATACAGTAAAACCTCGTTAACCGAATTACACGGGACTCAATAACCAAGAGTTCGTATTTAAAAAACCGCCCTAATCTGTTCAACTTGGGACACACCCTGCTAAAACGCGAAATATTTTGCCTTTATTTTTTTATGGGGAAATTCGTTTGTACAGAATAGGACAGGCAAAAACTGCATTTTATAAAATGAAGAACATCTTGTGCAATATATCCTTGTCATTAAGAGTTAGAAAAAGAATTCTTGCTTGCTACATACATCCAGTTTTTACATAAGGGTGTGAATCCTGAA